GCAAGGTATGGCTTGCAGGCTCCATTCACAGTTGATGAATCTGAACTTCTGTGGGAGTGTCTTGTCTAAGTTCTAAGATACCTGCTGCAAGTGGCCAGGTGTAACTAAATCCAAAGCCCGGATAATTTTCACTACACTCTGGTTACTTCTTTTGGTCAGAAAGCATGTGCTTACTGGGTCGGGCGGGGATCGCCCTTGGAGGCTACTTCTCATGGGCCACACTCTCAGATTTGCTGTTGGAAGGGGAAAGCGAGGCAAGAATTGAGGGAGGTCCTCAGAGATGGCAGCTACAACAACAAATTTGTTTGATTTTTCCAGGTGCCAGACTGAGCTCTAGATCTTCTTAACAACTGATAAAATCATTATTCTTGTTTTGCAGATGGGAAAAATGAAGTGTAGAGAGTAAATGACTATCTAATCATGGACCCAGCAAGAAGAGGCAGGGTTTAAAATCAAGTCTATCTGATAACAAACTCTTCCTTTTGTCAGCACTCATCAGCCCTTTAACTTCCAGACATATATTCTCTGCACAACTTGGCATTTGGTCCTCTCTTCTTTCTTGAGCTTGACTTTGTCCTGACCTTGCTCAGAAGGCAAGTTATCATTCATGCTGTGTCACCTCATGGGGGACCACCTCCTCCATGCAGCCTTCCTCAGGTCCTCAGGGACAGCTTCTCACTCATGTCCCCATGGCTCCCTGGCCACGTATATCTTTACTGAAATACTTTCCAATCCTCCATTCGGACAACTGTGAGTCCCTTTAGCGGAAATACAGTATCATTGCACCAATTACTTTTTAAATCCTCTGATCATGTTTCCCATCCAGAAGCTAATGTGGTGGTTATCTCATAGCTTTTCAGACCCATGGGTCTGGATTTGAATTTCAGCTGAGCTTGGGGATGTTGGAGCAATCACTTTCCTTCTTTAGCTCCATCTGTAAAATGGAAATTCTAAGGTCTGCTTCTCAGTCCTTGTAAGAATTTGTGAAATATTCACGTAAAGTGCTTACCACAGTGCCTGAGGCACAGAGCACATTTATATCATTAACTCTCTCGTTTGGCTCAGTCATGGACCAACAGGTGACTGACTGTGGAAAGCAAGGCTACCCTGTCAGTACAGCTGCACTAACTCCATGGTAAGGACCTGACTCAATGCTTTGCATACTGCCCCTGATTTATATCTCCTCCATGTGTCATAGGTGGTGACTAATGCCTAGATTTACACACACAAAAGGATAGGATGAGCTGAAAAGAAACTTTAAACAAATATTCATATATGAAGTAATAAAAAGAGAAGAACTTCTTAAAAATCTGAATTCTTAATTCTGACTGAGGAGATGAAAGTGAATTGCATCAATTACCTAAGAATTAACACCCAATGTTGATGAGATTGGATTGAAAATCATGTATGCAGACACTACTTATGACCATACAAGTTCTTACAAACTTTTGGGATAATATGATGATCCATTGCCACACATTGATATTTATTCTGAGAAAATAATCTTGAAGGAGGAACTAGCTATAAATAGAAGGTGCTTATTATATTAATATCTAGAATAGCAAAAACCTGGGTAGTCCTCCAAACCCCATCTGTAGGGGTGTGGCAATCAAATTATGGTGCAACAAAGTAATCATCAGTATAGTTAGGGGCAAAGGTCTTATAGGAATAGAAAAGATGCTTTTAATATACTACCTGGAAAGCAGAATATGAGCTGGAAATTACTCTGTGCATGCAACTATGTTACAATTGTGCATGTGGGCAGACACAGGAAAATCAAAGACAAAATAAAAGGGTTGTGGTGTGCCTGAAGGTGTGGGTTGCTTCTAATGCAATTTGGACTGAGTCACTGTATGTCTTGTTTTTCTCTCGTTGCTAAGACAAAATACCTGATACCCAAAGTTAAAGCAGGAAAGGTTTATTTAACTCACAGTTTGTAGGGGCTTCAGTTCATATTTCACTGGCCCTAAGGCAGGGTGGGTGGCAGACAGGTATCACAGAGGAGAAACAGTTCATGACAGGCAGGATGTAGTAAAGCAAGTGAGAGATGACCACAGCTCTTTGTATCCCTTGTATCTTACCCAGACTACTTAGGGCGGATAGCACTCACACTCTTAATCCTAGTGTTCTTGATCCTAGCATTGCACCATGAATCAATTCCAATGCCACACATTCTAGATCCAGCTACCTCTGAAAAAGCCCCACCTATGACCACATGAGGCTTTGGGGAGACATCTAGGCACAAGCCATAACATTGCCTTGTCTTATAAGTGTCTCCCATCTGTGGGATTTCATGCCTAGAGTCACCCACTGGACTGTCCAGCCTCCCTGCATCTCTGACAGCCAGGCCTCAGCAGCAATTCCCCAAATATAGCACAGTTCCATGCTGGCCTCAAGATACAAATATATGTAATTTCCCCTTGTTTGGTTCTAGGAAGCTGAATAGCCATCACCAGGGATTTTCAAGAGGCCAAAACACTCTGATATTGACTGGGAGGTTCCACATGAGTGCTCTGCTGTGTTGGTCAGCAGGGGCTGATCTTTCTTGGTGTCCCTGAGAGTACTTTCCACAGAAGCAAAGAGCTCTGCCTTGGAGGGAGGCAACATTAGGCTTAATGGGGCTGATGGGAGCCCTGTTAAGGCAGGAAATTTGACTGCATGTGGGAATCGTGCACTTTGTTCTGCAGAACCATTTCCAACTTACAATAAAGTAAAGTCATGGATGGAACAATTTCTGTTTAAAAGGAGCTCCAGAAGGGCCCTTAAAGAATGCTCAGTTCCCCAACCTCCTTCTCCCCAGATTTCTTGTCAGTCTGTATGAGGCCCCACCCTCAGGTGTGGGCTCCTGTGCTCTACCTCCACTCTGGTCTCCATCCCAGATTACACACCTGTGTCCATATGCTGAGAACAGGTGTGCACATTGCCAGTCAATAGCCAACCCTGACTCAGAACCACACTCTTGCAACTTGGGTAAGTGGAGTGGCCAAAGATTTGACTCAGTAATGATTTTGTTCACTGCCATTCATTCATTCATTCATTCACTCACTCATTTATTTAGTTATTCATTTGTTCTTCAATTATTAAGCATCACTTATTCACCAGACATTGTTCTGGACCCTGGAAATATAACCAGAACATGGTGGCCCAATTAAATAATAAAAATCCAAGAAAATAACTTATTTTCATAAATTATATGAAAGGAATCAGATGGGTGTTGAGTCCTGAGGCAGAACAACGGGTAGGATGAGTGGGACAGACTTTGGTTCCACTGGAGTGGTCGTTGGAAACCTTTCTAGGAAGTGTCAGTTCAGCAAAGTCCAGGAAGAGCGGAAAAGTCTAGCAATGGAAGGGGCTGGATCAGAGGAAGGCAGAGAGTTGAGGTGAGGGCCTGCAGCAGAAGGTGGAAATGCTCCAGCTGCTAGACACACACCCTGCCTCCTCTCCTCCTCTTTCTCACTCCCCTGCTTCCTTGTGTCTGTCAGTCTCTCCCCCCACCATCCTTTGCTCTCTTTCATAGCTTGGTTTCTGATTTGCTTCATCACATCTGACCCTTTCTGTCCATGTCTCTCCTCTTCTTTACTTTTTTGGCTCTTGTAGTTTCCCTAGCTCTGAATTATTTTTTCTCAGCCTGTCATTTTTGGGCACCATCATGCTTTCTTCCTGCTCCTTGCTTTCCTTCTCTTTCTCCTTTTTATCTCTTTTTCTCCACCTAATTTTGACCCCAGACCTCTCTCTTGCTTTCCATTCCTCTGCCCAGTGTCTTTTCCCTTCCCAAGCAGAGGTTACTGGGAAGCTCCTCTGATTGATATTGCTACAGACAGCTAAAGTCTTTAAATCATTCCCACAGTTCATCACTGGGAGGTGTTATGCCGGGAGTGTTTTGTCTGTACCCAAGAAAGACAGGAGTTTTAAAACAAACATATACATTCTCAGAAGCCCAAGTGATTGTATTTCTCCACTCACGTTTAATATGTGTAAAGCTGCCCCATGCCTACGGGGGAGTTATTGGAGTGAGCAAGCTGTCCTGGGCAAGGAATGAGGAGGGAATGGAAATTGGCCTAGTAGGGCCAGGCCAAAGCCTTTGCTCTGAGGACCTGAGCAGAGTGGCTTGTTTGTAGAAGGGAGAGAGAATACTTCCTATCTAGTGTTTCAGAGACAGTTTCATGGTTTCAAGTTCACATCCACCTCCCACAGCTCTAAGGAGAAGAGACAGCTCGTTCCCCTTGTCCCCACATTGCTGTGTAGGGGTATCTAGCATGGTATCCAGGACTCTTTGGAGCCTTTGTTGTCTGTCGATTCTTCTTCCTCACTGGACTTTGTACTTCTTGGTAACAGTGACACGGAGGTTCTCAGTGTCACACCCTTAGTGACCTCCCATAGCTACTGTCCTGTCTAGCTGAGCCAGGTTCCAGTTAAGTGCTCGTGAAGAAGGTCTATGTGAGTAACACCTGCTTGGCAGGTCTGTGGCTTTGGGAAAGTGCTTGTTTCCCCTTCTCTAAAGTAAGGGTGATTGGATCCGTGCAGGTAAAGGGCCTGGAACATCAGAGTAAATGCTCAGTAATGTGGCCATTATTTCTCATCATTTTTCTTAATAGTTGCTATTTTTATCATTGTCACCATTACCATCATCATCATCATCATCCCCACCAAAATCTTCAGGCTTGGGAGAGATGGTACTAATTGGCCATACAGTTCTAGTTCTCTGGGTTATGAATGGATGGGAGATGATATCAGGTGCAAAAGCCCAGGTGTAACCTGTGTAGGTTCATTATTCTCCAAGGTGTGTTCTTTCAAGGCTCTCAGTCTCTGTGCAGAGATATTTGAAGAATGTAGGAACAGTTTGGCATCACAGGTGTTCTATTGGTGACAGTTCCCACTTCTCTTTTCCTGTGTCCATGATGGCTGGCTCATGTGTTTGTCCCAGAGGTGTCCTGCCTGTCTCCCCATCCTCAAAGGCTCTAGGGAAGACTAAATGGCTCCTCTTCATGTTGTCACACCTGAATAGCCCTGGCTCAACCTGAGCATTTGCTGCAGTGTTTTAGGCTGCTCAACTGACTTGTTCTAGTACCTTTTTCTTAAAAAACCACTGCCCTTTGAACTTCAGTTCTTTCAAGTGTAAAACAGGAGGAGGATCATAAACTTGGAGCTTGCTAAATCTCAAAGTGAAAAGTCATATTAAAATTTAATCCTCATTGTGAGGTATTAGGCAGGTGGAATCTTAATCCCACTATGGTAATTGGAGGTGTGACCTTTGGGAGGCAATTAAGGTTAAATGGGGTTGTAAGGGTGGGGCCCTCATCCAATGAGGCTGTAGATTTATAAGACAAGGAGGAGGATGTTCTGTGCTGCCAGGTGATGCCCTGCACTGCAGTGGGACTTTGCAGAGTCCCCACCAGCAAGGACTCACCAGATGCAGCTGCCTGACCTAGGACTTCAAAGCCTTTACAACTGTGAGCTGAATAGATTTTTATTCTTTGTAAATTACTCAGTTGGTGATATCCAGTTGTAGCAACAGAAAATGGATTAAGAGGTTAAGTATAAAGATTCAATGAGATCGTGCATTCCCTGTCCTTACTCCAGTGTGACCTCTTCGAGGGCAAAATCTATGTGTGCGCCATACAGAGCTCTAGATGTTCTAGAGCTTTGCTGTTCTGTGAGTATCAGAGCACTTAGAATTCAGCTGGTCAGGACTGAGCTGAGCTGCACGGGTAATGTGCACACTGGACTTCAAATGCTAGGTACAGAAAGAGTGCAAAATAACTCAATATTTTCATATGATTATATGTTGAAGTAAATGATAATATTTTAAATGTATCAAGTTAAATAAAATTAAGGAAATTTGTTAAATAGTATTTGTTTTATGTTAAAATAACATATTAAACATACTAAACACTTAAATGATGTTATCATAACAAAATAATTATTAATTAATAAAATTATTTAAATTGAGTTTATTTGTTTAAAAAATACTTTAAATGTGGGTACTAGAAAACTTAAAATTGCATATGTGGGTCACATCATGTTTCTATTGAGCAGTGAACAGTACCTTAGAGTATAGGAAAGAATCTGTTTAGCACAAGTGAATAGCTCTTGGGGAGAGACTGGATAAGTAAATAGACAAATGAAGGACAGGTAAAAGTAAATGAATGGCTACATCATGAATTCATAAATGGAAGGATGGGTAGAAGGGTAGATGAATGGAGGGAAGAATAGAATGACCAAAGGAAAAAATGGCTAGGGATAAAATTGATAGATCAGTGTATAAATAAATTACTAAAAAGATTAAAGAAATAAATGCCTACGTACAGAAACAAATATGTAAAGAAGGAAGAACAGATATCCTGGGAAAACAGGGCTTGACTTTGACAAGAAGGCTTGCTCCTCTTCTGGAGCTCATGGAGCTGAAGCCTGTGACCAAGAAAAAAGGTTTACCCTTGCTCTTGGGGAATTTATTATTTTAATTGTTAGCCTTCATCAGAGGTTATTGGAATTTTTTTCCTCCTGGACAGTTTATCACTCGTAAATTATTTGTCACATCGTTGCAATTCTATCCAGATCCTTAACTTTCTAATCATGCATCTTTTATGGGGTCTCCTTTAAAGAAGCACTATAATTACGTGCCAAGGGTCCCAGTAAATTTTATCAGGCCATAAAATATTGTACTTTAATTATTTGGAAGGGGAAGAAAGGCAAATGTTCCCTCTGCAGGGCTGATGATCAATACTCCAAGGCTTGTGGAGGCTCAGCCGTCCTCCCTTGGGGTCCCTTGGAGTGGCTTGTGCTCCCTGCCCCAGGAGGTATCTGTACCAGCAGCTGGGCCCAGAATACACCTTCCTTGATTCTCTGATGGACTCTGATATACTTGTAGGTACACATCCTTAAGTAGTTTCATTATGCCCATCAAGTCTAAGTGGTTTGGGGGAAGTTTCTTTCCTCTTACCCCTTTTTTTTGCAATACTGGGGATTGAAGCCAGGGCCTTTGCACTGAGCTGCATCTCCAACTCCACCCCCTTTTGATTTTTTATTTGGAGACAGAGTCTTGCTAATCTGCTAAATGCCCCAGGGTGAGCTTGAATTTGTAATCCTCCTGGCTCAGCCCCCTAGCGTGCAGGGAAATTGTTTTGCCCTTTTTACAGATGAAGAACTTAGACTTAAAGAGTCATTGGAGTTGGGAATTTGCATTGGCTCTCCTGACTCCACGGTGATTTTTTTTCCCCCTCTCTGTGCCACAACTGCCATTGTGAACACACACCAGAGCACATAGATGAGCTCAGTGGGTTGGGGATTTTTTTTCATTCTGTAGCAGTTGAAAGGAGAAATATGATGACATCATGGCATCAGTGCTTTGCTTTAAGTATGTAATTCATTTGTTAACACATGCCAGGCCTATGGGATTGTTAATACATGCCACATAGACCATGGAAATGGCAGCTACAGCAGCTGCGAAGGACAGGGATGCATGAAGCTTCGAAAGCTTAAAAACTGAAGCTTCTAATCAGTTAGGAAGGTCATGGAAGGCTGTCCTGAGGAAATTAGTGATTCAAGGCCTGAAAGCTAAGTAAGAGTTAGTTAGGTAACCAGAAGGAGAAGTATTCTAGGTAGAGAGAACAGTACATGCAAAGTGCCTGTGGCGGCAAGCAGGAAGAAAATGTAGGGTGGCTCTATCTCAGTGAGAGATAGAGTTAGTGAGCCATGATAAGGCATTGGTTTTATCCTGAAAGCACTGACATTTCAGGTTAAGGTTCAGGTGAAGGAAAAGTCTATTTCAAAGGCAGTGCAGGAAAGCGATGATGGTCTGTGGAAGAAAAGAGCTGAGGGGTGACTGGGTGCGTGGCTGATGTCAGGAGCCTCCATCGGAGCAGGGGGTGAAGTCAAAGAAGAGAGGAAGTCAGGGAGGATGACTAATCCCCACACATCCTTCTGATCTTGGCATCTAAGTCATTTCCTTGGGGAGCCCTCCTCTGACCCCGGATTAGGCTGGACCCCCCCCACCCCACCCCCAGAAGTGGCTCTCCACCCTCCACTTCCCTTTTCACTGCACACAACACTATTTTTGCCATGTCTTACTTCATGGTCTTTCTCCTTACTGGCTGTGGCCTTATCCATGAGGCCCAAGTCACTGCTAGCTGCCCCTCTCCGCTAGCTTGGGACCTGGCACTCCATTGCAGACAAAACCCAGAACTGAAAGAACATTGGAGGAGTGGGGCATCCATGAGAGATGGGATTTGTGAAGGACATGTTTCCTCTAGATGCTCCCTCTCCCTCGCCCTCCCTTTCCCCCTCCTTTATTCACTTCCGTATTTTACCCTAAAGCTGAACTCTTCCAAACTCCCCACTGAGGGGCTTTCATCAAGCACTGACAGGCACATAAGAGAATCTCTGAGCTCTAGATATGAAGCATCAGTTTTCTTCCAAAGGGCTGCAATGCACACAGTCACCATACAGAAGAAAGAATACCTCAATCCAAGAGGCTACATGATTTTCATGGTCACTATTGCACAGAAGGAAGGTGACTGGGAAATTTATGAAAACCCTCCATGTCACCCTTTTGGACTGACTCATCTTGTTACTAGGTTTACTGCTAATTATCTCAGGGTGAACACTGGTGAACCCTGTGGTCACTGGGATGGTGAAATCCCTAGCAAATTTTTCTGAGTAAAGAAGGTTATATTCATATCAATAATACGAATGCTGATGCTGATGGTAGCTAGCATTAATGCTAGGAACATTCCTGATCCATTATATCAGGGTTCTGCCCATCTAAATCTTGTTTTTGCAAAAGAATTTTGTTTGGAACATGATCATGTCAATTCGTTTATATGTATGTCCTTTCTTGTGACCATGGGATGGCAGATCTGGGCGACAGTGACAGAAGTAATGTAATTCTTAAAGCCTAAGATATTTGTTAGCTGGCTCCTCAGAAATAAAGCTGGCCAATCTCCCCCTTTACATTCATTACTGCAACACTAGGACTTAAGTAAAACTATCTCTAGTTTGTGGATAATGAAACTGAGGCTCAGGGAGAATTGATTTCCTTGTAGTTTCACAGGCTCAAACCCAGTGAGTCCATCTTGTGATCTTTCAATGTGGTCTTCAGGAGAAGACAGTGTTACTGGGTCTTTAGGAGAAAGACAGGAGACTGCTTTTAACTAGTTCCAGAACTGCCAGAGCCGATCACTCCAGAAGCACCTCACAGATATGCTTGATTATGTATTCTTACTGAAAGATACCTACAAACAGGTAACTCAAAACAGCAAGCATTACTTGGTTTGGGGGCCGAGTTCCAAGAGCAAGCAATCTAAGAGAGAGGAGGTAGAATTTTAAAGGCCAGGGCCTAGCAACTCCTTCAGGGCCACTTTTGCTATGTGCTACTGGTGAAGGTGTCATAAGCCTGCCTAGATCTAAGGGAGGGCCAGAGACTCTATCTATCAATGGGAAGTGTCAGTTTTGGGGCATGATTTTAGAAGCACATGGCAAACAAACCCTAGTCATCTCAAGGATCTTTTGGACCATCACTTTGATTCAGCATAACTGATAATTTTTTGTCCAAACTAGGAAACAGGAAGAGAATGAAAGGAGGGCTCTGAATACCGGACACCTGTGCAGCGTAGAGCAGTCCCAGACAAGGTGAGCATGTGGTCAGCTATTGCTGCAATGATTAGTGCCTTTTTGATGTCCCCAGTCATTGTAGATGGGTTAAATTAGAACTACTTACTGTGTTTTGTTGAAGGAATCTACTTAGGCATATTTTGAAAAATTGTTTAAAAATAAAGAATAATGTTTTTCCGGGATATGAACTTGTCAGTTACCTGGGAATTTTAACTACTACTTTCCTTAATTAATTAACTGTGCAGCTCCTGTGGGATATGCCACCCTCAGATCAGGAGCACTCTACTCCTGGTTTTTTATTTGCTGAAGGTTCACTCCATGCTTGTCTCTGCATAAGATTCTGAGACAGCAGACGTGGTCTGACCTCCAAGTGCTTTGATTTATTAGGCAAGATGGTCCAGCCAATAGGTCTTTGCAAGCTGGAGATAAGAACCATCATAGAATGAAGAGTCAAATATTGTAGAATCCCTGAAAAAATTCCAGGAAGATTTTATAGGGAATGTGGTATCAGTTGAATTTTTGATTACCTAGTATGTCTTGGGTACCTTACCAAACATATTATATGTATTTCTTTTAATATTTAAAAAATTCCCTTCTGGGTAAACATAATTACTATTCCCATTTTATAGATGAAGAAAGTTTAAGTAACTTGCTTAAGCCAGTAGTAGGAACAGGACAGGTGTTAGGGTCGGAATGAGGAAGGGTGAATAGAAGTTTCTAAGCCTCAAAGAAGGGAAAGGGCATCTCAGGTAGGGGACCAGTAGCAGTAAAGGGTGGATGGGGTAGAATAGAGCTGGGAGAGCCTTGATTGCAACTGGCTTTTGGGGGTTATAATGGGGTTCTTCCTGAAGAGAAATCTTGTAAGGTAAGAAGCTTGAATATTTCCAAAGAGTCATGGCTTCTGTGTGTTGAAATAGGGAGTGCAATCTTGGATTCACCTTAAATTTGAGCCTTTTCAGTTCTGCAAGTTATCCAGAGACCAGAAGCTCCACCCAAGAGTTTAGAAATGCAACATCAAGTTTCATCTCAGTCCGGTGGAATCAGAGCCTGCATTTTAACAAGGCTCCCGGGAGATTCCTCTGCACATGCAAGTTTGAGAACCACTGTTCTAGTGCACTGCAGTTCATGGAGGAGTTTATAACTTTATATTTACTCACATTCAAGATCCTCCACTGGTAGTTTCCAGTTTTGCAAATGCTAGCAATGGCCTGCAAAGGATTTGAGGGAAAGACTGAGGTCAGTCACGTCAGTAACTGAGATGTATCCACTAGCTTTCTTGTTTCTAGGCCTTCTAGTGATGGCACCAGGACCCTCTGCAAAGAAAATCAATTCAGCCCTGGTTCCCATACATTCTAAGCAAATCAGCTCAGTGATATGACTTTGTGGATCACTGCAGGCACCATGGGTCTTGGATCCTAACATCATGGGTCCACTGTGTGGTAGACTGGCCTCCTGTCCCTGGGGGTGGGGCAGACAGAGAGAGAACACCTACCCTGTCCAGCTCACAGAACAGCTGTGACCCAACAATAGGTGACATTCATGTTCTACCAGCACAGAGGCCTTCTCTGGCTGAAGTAGTGGTCTGGGGCCTGAAACTGATTCATTTGGCAGTCCTATTTTCTGCCTACCCTGAGATGGGACAAATTGTGAGGATGGCAAAATCCAGAAGGCTCAGATTTCAGAGATGTGGGCTTTTCCAACTCTCTGCTGGCCCTCAGGGACCCTTAACTAGCTCTTGAAGTCAGAAGTGGCAACACTTTTTAGAAACTCAGTTTCACAGGACATTTTTTCATCCTTCCTTTGTATGTCACTCCATAGATATTTCCTTTTCTGTGGTAGCCTGTGTTGACCCCTGGGATGAGGAGGGTGGATCTGGTCCCTCACTTGCAGAAGTGTTCTGTATGATGGGGAGAGAGATAAACAACGAGTGCTTTAAAAAGTCTGAGTGAGGGAGGCAGTTGGTGCTGAAGATATTAGAGGTATCTGGTTCCATATGGAAGACAGCTCTGCCATTTGCCAGCTTTATGCTCTTGAGCAGATGTCACAGCCTCTTGAAGACTCCAGAGCCTAGCCTATGCCAAGGTCACACTAATTTCCTCTTTCAGGATTTGGGCAGGTAATAAATGGAATATGGAGAAACACACACCCCAGGATGCAGTTCATGGCAGCTATTCAGAGTCCTGGTCTCTGACCCCAGACTCCAAGCTGGGCCAAACATCTTGCCATGTGAAGTTCAATCAACCAGAGGGACTAGTTTCATTTCACAAAACACACTTTCCTGGGAGACTTCTCCTCATCTTGTAGGGAAGTGACTGTCCTCACGTGTCTGAGGAAATGCATGTGACAGTGTCGTGTCTCAAGCAACCAAAGGGATCTTGCAAAACTACGATCCCCTCATTGCTGCAGAAGAATGCATGGGAGGGAGGAAGCAGACAGCCCTCCTTCTCTCATGGTCTGTAAGACTGTGGGTTGTGGGCTATGGCCAGTTCTATGAAGATTAACTGTGTGATTCTCGGACTTGCCCTAGAAGCCTTTCTTTTTTCATCTCCTTTTGGTGTTCTTCCTTCTCCTCCATACCCTTCTTCTCCTTCTCCTCCATTTTCTTGTAATATCACACCTTCTATGTACCTTCCTGAAGCTTCTCCTATAGAAGATCACCCTCAGAAAACAGGCAGCAGGTCCTAGATGCCAGTGGGCTTGGTGGAAAAGCTGCTTTTTTTTTTTTTTAAACACAGAAGCTTCTCACATCAATAAGGCAACTGAGGGCACAAGGCAGTGTCCAGGGCAGTAACAGGGGTTAGGCCGAGTCACAGAGCTCCCACAGGCTTGAAGCATAAAGGCAGCAGCATCAATGGGATGTTCAGGTCCAGGAGAGGGGGTGAGCAGGTTAGGACTCCATTTCTTTGCCCTTTGGCTAGAAACTATCCACCTTAGCATGCTTAGCTCAGAGGCCTTCCTCCCAAGAATCAGCTTTTCTTCATACCTCTAAGACCCTTTGTCTTAACATAGGTCATGTCTAGCAGCCTTCCTTGAGTAGCAAGGACTCTGCTGTCTTTTGAAGGCAGGCAGTGTGAGTAATGAATTCTCTTCTGCTAAGCCTCTCCTCCCAGTCACAGGTGGGGTGGCCTAAGTTGTGCATTCTTGTGCCCACCTGCACGGTCTTCTGCATACCCAACAGTGTGTACATATTTATTGTCATCTGTGCACACACTCAAAATGATCCTGGCTCCAAACCCCCCACAGGTGCTCCCGTGGGTCCCCGTGTCTTGTGCCCCATCTATCAGGGTGTCCTGCCTACTGCCTCCATTAGGAAGCTTTACTGCCGGAGTGCCCAGGTTTAGCAGACCTGACATTGGCAGTGACTGAGTGGGACTGTGGTGACATGTCCATAAAACCTCATAAATCATCTCTATGCATCTCTGCATGCACATTTTTATTTTCCTCAATAAATACACACATTCATATTTCCTAACAGCTCCAATGTTGGCTGAGTGCCCGGCCAAGGAGCCCATTTACTGTGCATTTGGTCAGGATGTATTGTGTACAGGGATGGGAACCACTCTGTTGGTTATTAGGGCCCCAAGACTTCTAAAGGATGTGGGATGATGAAGGTCTGATTTGAACGGGTCTCTTGGTGTCATATACAAGCCATTCATCTTTTCATCTGTTCACTTGATTTCATACAAACTCCTACTGAGGATTTAGGCAAGGGATACAATGAAGCCCATTTTTCTGACTTAAAAACTGAAGCTCAGAAGAATTAAGTGATGGTCAAGGGAGGGATGTGGGGATCTTCATTAAAACGATGCTACAGATTGCCTGATGCAAGTGGTTCATGGCTACACTTTGAGAATGGAGGAATTTTGTGATTATAACTTGGACTTCAAAGCATGAATGATACATTTTCATTTCTTAAAAATACTCTGAAAATAATAACCGATGAAGTGAAAAGTGATCCTAAGAACAGACATTTTATACCCTACTAGTAAGTGGTAGTGACTGGATTACAGACCCAGTTCTCTGTCCTCAAGTGGAGCTTGTTTTCCACTTACAATATTGACCCAACAGTAAAGAACTACCATTTGCCTGATATCAGGATGTTGGAGGGCTCTGAGCTTCCAGAAGGCCAGTTCAATATACATTAAAATGTATACTGAAGGTTGCAGTGAGCATCTCCTTGCTAAGAGATGCCACAGAATGGAGAGAAGGCAGGAAAAAGGAAGGTGAGGACTGCTGGCAGGAATGGTAGAGTCTCTCATTCAAACTGCCCCCTGCTATATGCTATCAAGTGATACTAGTTGGATACTGGGTCAAGAGTGGAGAGGTGAAATGTGAAACAAAGGAGAAGCTCTTTTCTGATGCTTTTAAAGTTAAAACTTGGATAAAATAGAAGAGAGGGAGATAGAGAGCTCCTGTCTTGGCTCTGATGTGGTGTTCTGGGAGGCCCCTTATGAAGAAATCGCCTATATAATGTATGAGAAGGGAAGAGTGTTGCCCATTGGAGAACTCCATACCCTCTGATGCACTTCTCTCTCTCTGGATTCCCCTGTCATGCCACAAGTGAGTGGGGATGGGACCAGGTTCCCTCTGAGGAATGTTCACTAATTATTTACAAACTATTTGCTGAGAGATGTTTCCAGAATACAGAGAAATTGATGTTACCCTGATTCTACTGACCAATCCATGCACAGTCATGAGCTTTGGGCACTTCAGCCTGTTCTCTAAAGTCCTTTGTCTAATTCCAGTTGGCCTGCTTCCCTACTTCATGCTTGGAGGTGTGTGAGCACTGCAAATTGAAACAGAATCCAGGAGAGCCTCCCGTACCATCCACAGGCCTGTATCTTGTCAACCAATTGGCCATGGTGGCAAAGATGGAAGTTTTACATGGGCTTAGCAACACAGACTTTCGCTCCCAAAGAATTAACTGGCAGCAGTGACTGCTCAGTGCTCTATCGGTCAGTGCGATTGACCAACTCTGAGCCTTAACATGACACCGCTGTCCATGGCAGGGTGATTAC